CGTGTTGACAAATAGGCAGCAAAGAGTTTGCAAAATGGGGAGAAATCAGAATAGGGGCACGTCACAAGCTGTGTTCCACAGGGGTCAGTGTTGGGCCCCTTGTTGTTCGCATTTTACATAAACGATATAGATGAGGGAATAAATAGCGACATAAGCAAATTTGCTGATTCACCAAAATAGACCGTCCAATTCATTCTATTGAAGACATTAGTGCACTCCAGGATGATTTGAATAGACTGATGCAATGGTCGGAGAAGTGGCAGATGCAGTTTAATATAGACAAATGCAAAGTTCTAAATGTTGGACAAGACAATAACCATGCCACTTATAAACTGAACAGTGTAGATCTTAATACTATTGATTGCGAAAAGGATTTAGGAGTTCTGGTTAGCAGTAATCTAAAACCAAGACAACAGTGCATTAGTGTTCGCAATAAAGCTAACAGATTTCTTGGCTTCATATCTAGAAGTATAAATAATAGAAGTCCTCAGGTTGTTCTTCAACTCTATATATCCTTGGTTAGGTCTCATTTAGACTATGCTGCTCAGTTCTGGTCACCGTATTACAGAATGGATATAAATGCTCTGGAAAACGTACAGAGGAGGATGACAAAGATGATCCCATGTATCAGAAATCTTCCCTATGAGGATAGACTGAGGGCCCAGAATCTGCACTCTCTAGAAAGGCGTAGAATTAGGGGGGATATGATTGAGGTGTATAAATGGAAAACAGGAATAAATATAGGGGCTGTAAATAGCGTGCTGAAAATTTCCAGCCAAGACAGGACTCGCAGCAATGGTTTTAAGTTGGAAAAGTTCAGATTCAGGAAGGATATAGGAAAGCACTGGTTTGGTAATAGAGTTGTGGATGAGTGGAACAAACTCCCGAGTACCGTCATAGAAGCTAAGACCTTGTGTAGTTTTAAAAATAGGTTGGATAAATACATGAGTGGGTGTGAGTTGGACCTGACTAGCTTGTGCTGCTGGGTCTGGTGCCATGCTCCTTCCTTAAGTGGAAGTGACCTGACTAGGTGGTCATTATTCTAAGCCGGGGGGCGGCATGGACCTGCTTCGCATGGGTCAGTAGGCCTGTTGCAGTGTTCCTTCTTTCTTATGTTTTTATGTTCTTATGCTCATGTGGCTATATTTTGCTTTCATGTCTCTTGAAATGCCTTAGCTCATGTCTCTAGGTACAGAGATGGGGATTCATGTACTCATGTCTCTTGAAATACCCTAGATCATGTCTCCAGCTAAGAGGGTGAAGCTTCATGTGGCTATATTATACTTTCATGTCTCTTGAAGTGTCCTGGCTCATGTCTCGTGTGGATATCAATGTCTGCTGTATAAATATATCTTTCAACATTGAATGCCGTTGCTCGAGTCATGGTATCTAACACTTCTCCCACTGATTTGTACTTTGTAGGAAAATTTTTCCTCTAGCCATATTTTCCCCCAAATTCATGATTTTAGTATTTTGTTATAACTATTACTCCATTATTATTATTATTAGTAGTAGTAGCGGTAATAGTAGTAGTAGTAGTAGTAGTGGTAATAGTAGTAGTGTAGTAGTAGTAGTAGTAGTAGTAGTAGTAGTAGTAGTATAGTAGTGTAGTAGTAGATAGTAGTAGTAGTGGTAGTAGTAAGTAGTAGTAGTAGTAGTAGTGTATAGTAGTATAGTAGTAAGTAGTGGTAGTAGTAGTGTAATAGATAGTAGTAGTAGTGGTGGTAGTAGTAGTAGTAGTGTGGTAATAGGTAGTAGTAGTAGTAGTGGTAATAGTAGTAAGTAGTAGTAGTGGTATAGTATAGTAGTAAGTGGTAGTAGTAGTAGTGTGTGGTAATAGTAGTAGTAGTAGTATGTGTAGTAAGTAGTAGTAGTAGTAGTAGTAGTGGTAATAGTAGTAGTAGTAGTAGTGGTAGTAGTAGTAGTAGGTGGTAATAGTAGTAGTAGTAGTAGGGTAATGTAGTAGTAGTAGTAGTAGTAGTGGTTAATAGTAGTTGTATGTGGTAATAGTAGTAGTGGTAATGTAGTAGTGTGTATAAGTAGTAGTGGTATAGTAGTAGTAGTAGTAGTGTGTAATAGTAGTGTAGTAGTAGTAGTAGTGTGGTGGTGTAATATAGTAGTAGTAGTAGTGTAATAGTAGTAGTAATGTAGTAGTGGTAAGTAGTAGTAGTAGTAGTAGTAGTGATATATAGTAGTAGTATGTAGTAGTTAATAGTAGTAAGTAGTAGTGGTAGTAGTAGTAGTAGTGGTGGTGTAATAGTGTAGTAGTAGTAGTAGTGGTAGTATGTAATAGTATAGCAGTAGTAGTAGTAATAGTAGTAGTTGTATAGAGTAGTAGGTGGTAATAGATAGTATAGTTATAGTAGTGTTGTAATTAGTAGTAGTATGTATTAGTATTATTATATTATATATATATAATATATAGTATATTAGTATAGTGTATATAGTTAGTATTATTAAATATATTATTATTATTATATTATATGTATGTATTATTATTATATGTGTTCAGTAGCACCTGAAGCTGCCTAACAGTATACACAGCAATGCTGGCACAATCAGAAGTTTTAAACTTCCTCTGACAACATATCCCAGTCATGGTGAGTGATATTCAAGTGTAGTATGTACGGTAAGTCATAGTAGGCAACACTGTCAGTTTAAATCAAAGTATGGCAGAGAATGATATAACATCAGCTACTTTCTAATTAATGTGATATCAGATGTTGTAAACAAGTGGAGTAGATGGTATTTTGTTTTCTAAGTTGATTGTAGTACGGAAAGTTTGAGAGAATGTAGTTATGTTAACAAAAAGTATCTGGCAATGACTTTAAATTGAGTGGATTTCGTGACTAGGGTACGATGAGGTACACAGGTGCTGAGTCCACGACAGCAAGAACCATGACAGTTGATGGATATAATGAGGTACACAGGTGCTGAGTCCACGACAGTAAGAACCATGACAGTTGATGGATATAATGAGGTACACAGGTGCTGAGTCCACGACAGTAAGAACCATGACAGTTGATGGATATAATGAGGTACACAGGTGCTGAATCCACGACAGTAAGAACCATGACAGTTGATGGATATGATGAGGTACACAGGTGCTGAGTCCACGACAGCAAGAACCATGACAGTTGATGGATATGATGAGGTACACAGGTGCTGAGTCCACGACAGTAAGAACCATGACAGTTGATGGATATGATGAGGTACACAGGTGCTGAGTCCACGACAGTAAGAACCATGACAGTTGATGGATATGATGAGATACACAGGTGCTGAGTCCACGACAGCAAGAACCATGACAGTTGATGGATATGATGAGGTACACAGGTGTTGAGTCCACGACAGCAAGAACCATGACAGTTGATGGATATGATGAGGTACACAGGTGCTGAGTCCACGACAGCAAGAACCATGACAGTTGATGGATATGATGAGGTACACAGGTGTTGAGTCCACGACAGCAAGAACCATGACAGTTGATGGATATGATGAGGTACACAGGTGCAGAGTTCACGACAGTAAGAACCATGACAGTTGATGGATAGGATGAGGTACACAGGTGCTGAGTCCACGACAGTAAGAACCATGACAGTTGATGGATATGATGAGGTACACAGGTGCGGAGTTCACGACAGTAAGAAAATGACAGTTGACGAATAAGACACATGTGCAACACCTGGGTATCTTGATTATGAAGACGTTTCACTAACCAGTGGCTTTATCAGTTTTTGTGTATGTTTGTGAATGAATCAGAGGAGGACCTAAATCTCCTCTGAGCAGTGAGAGCTCATCATGCGAGTGGTTTTTCTATTGATTCTACTGATTGTCCCTAATTCCTCCCTAGTAACCCGCCTCAGTTTTCAGATCATTCATATTAATGTAAACCTTTGCTTTATCGCCCCTATCCTCCCTGAACATAAATGCATTTCTGGCAGTTCATCGGCAAATCATTTCAGCCACTATGGTCTTGTTTGCCACAGAAGAGACAGACCATACAAGGCATGAAGAGAATAACAACAACAGAGAACCACTTCAACAGCCAGATACTAAGCAATATTAAATCCATCCTCTTATGGAACTAACTCTATCCACAGTCTCATGGCTGTCGTCCATCAAGAGATAAATCCAAGATATGGGTGTTAATCTCTATTTGAATTAAACCTGATTACCAGTCATTTTCCAAGTGCTGTATATTTAGCGTTTCCCTATAAATATAATAATTAAGAGACTTATTTAACAGGATATTATACTCACATGTATACACCATACGGCGTAACGTATTTTCTGGCATATAAGGCGCACAAGAATCATAACGGTAAATCAGTAATCATATTTAAGGGTTAATTACCCTCTTACTTTATGCTAAAGCATAACATAAAGCTTACCCTTGACCCTGACTTTGAGCATATAAGGCACAGGGTGATTCTCCAAGCCTTTGTTGTGGGAAAAAGGTGCGTCTTATATGCCGGAAAATACGGTATATCTCTTATCCAGCATCTGTTATTCCACTCCAGTTATCCTTGCTGTAATAAAATGGTTGTTGATATTGTTGCAGCAACGAGACAGTTGGCTAACCAGGACTACGGTGTGTGCATCAAAAGAGCTGATAGCTACTGTGGCATCACATACAAACGAAACACAGACTTGGGCAACTATGGCTTCACCGTCAGTGGCCAAGTGTTAGCTGTAGACCCCGTCCTCATCGGTAAGAATCTCAACACAGACACGAAGTAACGAAACACAGACTTGGGCAACTATGGCTTCACCGTCAGTGGCCAAGTGTTAGCTGTAGACCCCGCCCTCATCGGTAAGAATCTCACACAGACACGAAGTAACGAAACACAGACTTGGGCAACTATGGCTTCACCGTCAGTGGCCAAGTGTTAGCTGTAGACCCCGCCCTCATCGGTAAGAATCTCACACAGACACGAAGTAACGAAACACAGACTTGGGCAACTATGGCTTCACCGTCAGTGGCCAAGTGTTAGCTGTAGACCCCGCCCTCATCGGTAAGAATCTCACACAGACACGAAGTAACGAAACACAGACTTGGGCAACTATGGCTTCACCGTCAGTGGCCAAGTGTTAGCTGTAGACCCCCGCCCTCATCGGTAAGAATCTCACACAGACACGAAGTAACGAAACACAGACTTGGGCAACTATGGCTTCACCGTCAGTGGCCAAGTGTTAGCTGTAGACCCCGCCCTCATCGGTAAGAATCTCACACAGACACGAAGTAACGAAACACAGACTTGGGCAACTATGGCTTCACCGTCAGTGGCCAAGTGTTAGCTGTAGATCCCGTCCTCATCGGTAAGAATCTCACACAGACACGAAGTAGAAGAACAAGCGTTAGAATCAAGAGGTGATCAGGTCAATACCAGCGCCAGGGGCAGGTGGAGTGAAAAAGAAAACGAAAACTGAGAAGTTCATGACGATATTGGGAGTGTGACAGACAGGGGAGGATCTACTTCTATACTAATGAAACTTAGGCTTCAGGGCCCCTAATCTCGGAGGGTTCTCAAAAGCTATGTTACTCCACATTGCTTAAAAAAATTGAGTCTACTGTATGAGAAGGGGTTCTAAAAATATCAATGTAGTGTAATCCAGTACAAAATAATTGTTAAAATAAAAATTAAAAGCTTATTAGCTTGTTAAAGTATGGTGTAGGCCTAGCCTTTGCTGGCTGTGAGGGGGCCCCATAACAGTTCAAACTTCAGGGCCTCAAAAATGTAGGTCCGACACTGGTGACAGGAGACAAAATTAGCAACACTAAAATTAGTAACATTAAATACTTGGTAATAACCTAGCAACCACAACAATAGCGACATGACAGCTATCACCAACCTGCTGTCAGACGTCACATCATTATAAAAGACTTTAATGTTCTGATCTCAATGGAATCTGGCATCTATCAGTAGGAAAAGTCCACCACATACAGAGTGGGGAAGCAGCAAAATGAGAAAAACTCTCTTTCCAGAGACTTGTCCAATTCACCTTCATGTTAATGCTGGTTTATCTATAAGGTTTATTGGGAACAGCAAATGACACCCAGTTTGTCAGTGTAGAGCTGCATTTATGATAATCCAAGGAGTTCAGGTAGGAATCCTGCTAAAGATAGTGTATAATTTAATAAACAAACACATTGAAATATATTTTTTTACATTAGGTTCAGAATAATTTTTGCGAAATTATTGCATACACAAATTTTAGCTTGCCCTATTCGGCAAGAAGTGTGTTGCTATTTAAGCCAAAATCACAAGTTTTATTTACTCAGGACTATATCTTTAAGATCATTTAACCTACTAACCAACCTTTTAGCAGATGCGTCATCAAATTGAACTAGCTACTGCTTGTAGATTTTGACTAAATAAAGATTGCACACAGGTACCTTCGACGCAGGCAGCCTGGACAGCCAATGCCCCAAAGACTACGTGATCATCCCTGGAGGCAGGTACACTAAGTACGAGCCTGACCCGGCACTTTACCCGGCAGACAGATACTGTGGTCTTGGCTTCCCATACTCCGTCACCAGTAAGTATATACCCATATATAGGACAGAGAAGCTTCTGACAACGTTTGGTTAAACTCCATTTACTAGTCACACTAGCACACGGAGGTTAGGTTAGGTAAGGTTCGTCAAGAAACAGGACAAGTGTTTCCTGATGCTGGTCATAGTCATATTATGGCCCACAGCTGCCGCTTTTGGTCATCTGACCGAGGCCTTCCACTGGCTTACTATTCCACCCCTTTTATAAATTATTGTTATGATTATAACTACTGAGTTCATTCCACAGGAAGGATAGGGAGCCAGTATATACATAATATATATATATTTTTTTTCAACAAGTCGGCCGTCTCCCACCGAGGCAGGGTGACCCAAAAAAGAAAGAAAATCCCCAAAAAGAAAATACTTTCATCATCATTCAACACTTTCACCACACTCACACATTATCACTGCTTTTGCAGAGGTGCTCAGAATACAACAGTTTAGAAGCATATACGTATAAAGATACACAACATATCCCTCCAAACTGCCAATATCCCAACCCCTCCTTTAAAGTGCAGGCATTGTACTTCCCATTTCCAGGACTCAAGTCCGACTATATGAAAATAACCGGTTTCCCTGAATCCCTTCACTAAATATTACCCTGCTCACACTCCAACAGATCGCCAGGTCCCATGTACCATTCGTCTCCATTCACTCCTATCTAACACGCTCACGCACGCTTGCTGGAAGTCCAAGCCCCTCGCCCACAAAACCTCCTTTATCCCCTCTCTCCAACCCTTTCGAGGACGACCCCTACCCCCTTTCCTTCCCCTATAGATTTATATGCTTTCCATGTCATTCTACTATGATCCATTCTCTCTAAATGATCAAACCACCTCAACAACCCCTCTTCTGCCCTCTGACTAATGCTTTTATTAACTCCACACCTTTTCCTAATTTCCACACTCCGAATTTTCTGCATAATATTTACACCACACATTGCCCTTAGACAGGACATCTCCACTGCCTCCAACCGTCTCCTCGCTGCTGCATTTACCACCCAAGCTTCACACCCATATAAGAGTGTTGGTACTACTATACTTTCATACATTCCCTTCTTTGCCTCCATAGATAATGTTTTTTAACTCCACATATACCTCAATGCACCACTCACCTTTTTTCCCTCATCAATTCTATGATTAACCTCATCCTTCATAAATCCATCCACCTGACACGTCAACTCCCAAGTATCTGAAAACATTCACTTCTTCCATACTACTCCTCCCCAATTTGATATCCAATTTTTCTTTATCTAAATCATTTGATACCCTCATCACCTTACTCTTTTTTATGTTCACTTTCAACTTTCTACCTTTACACACATTCCCAAACTCATCCGCTAACCTTTGCAATTTTTCTTTAGAATCTCCCATAAGCACAGTATCATCAGCAAAAAGTAACTGTGTCAATTCCCATTTTGAATTTGATTCCCCAAAATTTAATCCCACCCCTCTCCCGAACACCCTAGCATTAACTTCCTTTACAGCCCCATCTATAAATATATTAAACAACCATGGTGACATTACACATCCCTGTCTTAGACCTACTTTTACCGGGAAGTAGTCTACCTCTCTTCTACACACCCTAACCTGAGCCTCACTATCCTCATAAAAACTCTCTACAGCATTTAATAACTTACCACCTATTCCATATACTTGCAACATCTGCCACATTGCTCCTCTATCCACTCTATCATATGCCTTTTCTAAATCCATAAATGCAATAAAAACTTCCCTACATTTATCTAAATACTGTTCACATATATGTTTCAATGTAAACACTTGATCTACACATCCCCTACCCACTCTGAAACCTCCTTGCTCATCCGCAATCCTACATTCTGTCTTACCTCTAATTCTTTCAATTATAACCCTACCGTACACTTTTCCTGGTATACTCAGCAACCTTATTCCTCTATAATTTTTACAGTCTCTTTCGTCCCCTTTTCCTTTATATAAAGGGACTATACATGCTCTCCGCCAATCCCTAGGTACCTTCCCCTCTTTCATATATTTATTAAACAAAAATACCAACCACTCCAACACTATATCCCCCCCTGCTTTTAACATTTCTGTCATGATCCCATCAGTTCCAGCTGCTTTACCCCCTTTCATTCTACGTAATGCCTCACGTACCTCCACCACACTTACATTCTGCTCTTCTTCACTCCTAAAAGATGGTATACCTCCCTGACCAGTGCATGAAATTACTGCCTCTCTTTCTTCCTTTCTTCCATTTAAAAGTTCCTCAAAATATTCTTGCCATCTACCTAATACCTCCATCTCCCCATCTACTAACTCCCCTACTCTGTTTTTAACTGACAAATCCATACTTTCCCTAGGCTTTCTTAACTTGTTTAACTCACTCCAAAATTTTTTCTTATTTTCATTAAAATTTCTTGACAGTGTCTCTCCCACTCTATCGTCTTCTCTCCTTTTGCACTCTCTCACCACTCTCTTTACCTTTCTTTTACTCTCCATATACTCTGCTCTTCTTATAACACTTCTGCTTTGTAAAAACCTCTCGTAAGCTACCTTTTTCTCTTTTATCACACCCTTTACTTCATCATTCCACCAATCACTCCTCTTTCCTCCTGCCTCCACCCTCCTATAACCACAAACTTCTGCCCCACATTCTAATACTGCATTTTTAAAACTATTCCAACCCTCTTCAACCCCCCCACTACTCATCTTTGCACTAGCCCACCTTTCTGCCAATAGTCCCTTATATCTCACCCGAACTTCCTCCTCCCTTAGTTTATACACTTTCACCTCCCTCTTACTTGTTGTTGCCACCTTTCTCTTTTCCCATCTACCTCTTACTCTAACTGTAGCTACAACTAAATAATGATCCGATATATCACTTAAGAAATCGTAATGACACGATTGCAAATAAACCATACCCCCGGCCGGGATTGAACCCGCGGTCATAGAGTCTCAAAACTCCAGCCCGTCGCGTTAGCCACTAGACCAGCTAGCCACAAAAAGATTCATCCAACTAGGTATATACCTAGTTGGATGAATCTTATTGTGGCTAGCTGGTCTAGTGGCTAACGCGACGGGCTGGAGTTTTGAGACTCTATGACCGCGGGTTCAATCCCGGCCGGGGGTATGGTTGATCCGATATATCAGTTGCCCCTCTATAAACATGTACATCCTGGAACCAACCCATCAACCTTTTATCCACCAATACATAATCTAATAAACTACTTTCATTACGTGCTACATCATATAAATATATATATATATATATATATATATATATATATATATATATATATATATATATATATATATATATATATATATATATATATATGTATAGTATACATATATGTTTGTGCATGCATGTGTAGTGTGACCTAAGTGTAGAAGTAGCAAGACGTACCTGAAATCTTTCATGTTTATGACGCAGAAAAAAGACATCAGCAGGTTGTGAAGATTGGCTATGTTTTCATTAGATGATACACAGACAAAAGTACCGTCTATAAAGGATGCCACAGTACTGCGGGCTGTGCTTCTATGTCAAATTATGAAAACTAGAACAAGGGCCAGTACTGCAGTCTCTAACTTAACTTTTGTTTACATCTCTACCATCATGTAAATCAATTACAAGTTTCCGTCTTACACTCATTTGGCAGGACGGTAGTACCGTCCTGGGCGGTTGCTGTCTGTATCTATATATATACAGGAGATGGGGGCAGGGACGGGACTAACAGACGAAGAAAACCGTGGAAAAGTAGTGGTACAGGTAACGCTGATAGTGGAAGTAGTAGTAGCAGTAGCTGTAGTAAATAGGGGAAGTAGTGATTGTCGTATGCTTCTCTCTCCTACGTACGTGTTATGTATGTATTGTTCCAGTCACGGTTATTATTATTAAAGATTAGCCGGTATTCTCCCGGCTCGGGCCTTTTCCAAGTGGTGGCCCGGCCTTGGCTCCCTCTTTAGGGAGTGTCTGAGACCTAAGTCTCCCATGGGAGGAGGCACAAGTACCTCCTCATCTTTGGGACCAACTGTCCCCAGGCCTAGCCACAAGCTAGGCCTCTTTGGTCTGCCATCCCCGCCCCAAGGGGGCAAATGGGAATGACAGTCTTATGAGCTAAAGGCTCGGGCTCAGGCACCTACCCTACCCTAGAAGGATTAGGCATGGTGTCGATCCTCCAGTCACGGTATTGTGCCTTTTTTGTTCTTAGTAAATAATTTAGTCATTTCCTCGCCATGTCATCTCACTCACCATGCTATCAACTCTTTTGATAAACAAAACACGTGTTCAGCAGTTAGGTATCTGTAAAGTAAAAGGACACAAGTGCAACTAATGTGATATTTTATTGTGGCAACGTTTCGCTCTCCAGGAGCTTTGTCAAACTGTTACAAACAGTACATGGACACAGAGGGTATATATAGGCTCAGAGTGAGGTGCTATACTAGTGGTAGTAGTAGTAGTAGTAATACAATATGGTAGAACAATTAGCTTACACATGAATAAAATGATATAGAAGTTAGATATCTATATTTCGAAGCGTTTTGCCTACACAGCAGGCTTCTTCAGTCGACTACAAAGGCAGCAGGGGAAGCAGAGAAGTAGTTTTGAGGTGGTCAGTCCCTCAGCCTGGAGAAGAGCTCTGCTCCATAATCTGGAACAATGTGAAGCTGAAGCATCCTCACCCTGCTATCGTTTCCATTCCCCGTGTGGGTCGAAGTCAGGGCATTTCCACTTCTGAATTTACTCCCTTAGGACAAAAGATGATCCTTTTTTCTGAGTGATGTTGAGAAGCTGAGATATCACTTTCTATAATGTGGCATTTATTTTTTGTAGTGACGGGTAAGCCAATGGATGGAGTGATTAAATAGACAAAAGCTCCAATTAGCTGGTCATCCCAATGCTAAGTCCAGTATTAGGAGATACATATTTCTCGTCGCAAACAACACTCTTCCACCTCTACCATTCACCTGAGAGCCGAACCCTTTACCTGCGAGCGGAACCTCTAAACTCTAAACTGAGACTTAAACTGTAGGTTGAGCCCCTAACCTGTAGGCTAGTTTAGCAAGTCGAACCTATATATTTCACGCAGAATCCCCCACCTATGTGCCGAATGTCTCAGCTATACTACTGAAAAGTGAATATTTGACTTAGCTGCAAGTTTAACCACTTACCTGTATTCCAGAAAGCTTTACTCAATGTATATTAACCAGAAAGTGTGTCCCCTACACCTCTACATACGTAAGTATAACCCCAGCCTAGTGAGCTTGTTAGCTGAACATATCGTTTGTACAGTTGTAAGCCAACGTATCGATATTCTAAAGCTCTACACGTGACTTTATAAAAGTCTGCACAAACAGAAGAATGACTTTAAAATGTTCTAAATATATAAAAATATGACTTTAAAAAGCTCTACTCGTAAACATGATAAAGCTCTACATAGAAATATATGATCAAAAGAGCTCTATTACTCAACACAATGTACTTCGTAAATCTAACTTGCATATCCGCCTGCGTGGAACCTATTTCTCACCAGTTAAGAATACTTTAATCTCTTAAACAGGAACTAAAATAATCTCTCAGTGTATATACACTGTGATATACCTCTCGGTGTATATATGTATATATGTGTTTATTCGTTTGCAGCCACTTCTCAGCCATTCGTGATGTACGTGCGGACAGATGGTGATGAGCTTCCTGATGATGCCAATGTAGGATTTAGCCTCGATTATCGTCAGATAAAAAGCTGCGTGTGATCTGTGAACAACCAGCGGCAGCAGCTGTAACAACAACAGCAGCTGTGATAATCAGCAGTTGCTGTAATAACTACAGCAGCTGTGACAACCAGCAGTTGCTGTAACAACTACAGCAGCTGTGACAACCAGCAGTTGCTGTAACAACTACAGCAGCTGTGATAACCAGCAGTTGCTGTAACAACTACAGCAGCTGTGACAACCAGCAGTTGCTGTAACAACTACAGCAGCTGTGACAACCAGCAGTTGTGACAACCAGCAGTTGTGACAACCAGCAGTTGCTGTAACAACCAACCGCAGCAGCTGTAACAACTACAGCAGTTGTGACAACCAGCAACACCTGTAACAACCAGCAGCTGCTCTAACAACCAGCAACACCTGAAACAACCAGAAACACCTGTAGCAACCAGCAACACCTGAAACAACCAGAAACACCTGTAACAGCCAGCAGCTGCTGTAACAAGCACAGCAGCTGCAACAAGCAGTTACCAACACTAAAGTCTGTGATCTTCCTCGTGGTAGACGCCAGGGTCTAACAATCTACCATCGGGTAGATGGCAGGGTGTAGTGATCTACCACCTTGGTAGGTGATAACCAGGGGCTCTTGATCCAAGGAATTGCAGCTGCTTTCCTCTCCCTTGGCTCAAACTGTATTTATATTTTGTAGGATAAATTCTGTAACCTCAATAAATTTATTTTGTAACTGTGAATGCCTCAGTATCCCAATAAAGGGGCGTTTGATCCAGGGAATTGGATCGAACCTGAATGCTTATTTCCTCAGGCGCTGTATATCCCCTACAGGTTTAAAGCTCCCTATGATCATAATAATAATGATTACTACAACAACAACAACAATAATAATTTCGAGTGAAGTGTAATTCTGTGTATCTCTCGT